TCACCTTGGTCTGACCTCACCTTCCACCTCCCACCCCTGCCAACAACTGGGGGGTCACTCACCCCTGCAGTCCCCCCTCCACTGTTGGGTACCACTGTGGGTGCTTCAGAGTTGGTGCTCACCATCTGGAAGGAACAGAGACAGCTGGCATGAACAGAGGTTCCATGGTCACATGCTGGCATCGAATGCAGTGTTGGGAACACCCCCATTCCTTCTGTCTGACCAGAGTCAGGAGAAAGGCTAGTGTTTGCTGTGGCTGTGGGAGCCTGCTCCTGCCCGGCCTGGCTGGGGACTGCAGGTGTCTCAGGAGAGTTAACATTTCCCAGCTGAGTGTAGGGAGGTGGGCAGGCGTGAAGCTCCTTGAGGCCCACTGGACCTGGCCGGCTACATCACACCACAGCAAGGTGGCCCTGGAATCTAGCTCCTTCCTCAGGCATCCTGCGGAGAGCTCTGTGCCCTGCCTTCTACGGTCCGGCTCTGGCTCTGCACTGACTTTAATGGCAGGGATGGGAAGAAGGGTGTTCTGTTTTCAGTTCAGCTCTGTTCAAGGTAGGGGACAGTACTTTCTCTGCCTGGGGGTGACACAAAGTTTTCTCCCAAGACAGGCCAGAAAATAAACAAAATGGAGATTTGATGCAAACATTTCATGGTTAACGAAGTGACCTGTGGGCCACAGACCAGTGAGGCCACAAGAAAGGCCAACCAGGCCTGGCGTCTAGGACTCGGGGCTGCTGGGCCAGGCCAGGCTGGGCATCCCGCAGCTCCCAGGATGTCCCTGATGGGGGGCATGGAGTGAGTGACCCTCACTCTGAAGTCACGTTTGGTTGTGCCCAAGCAGAGGAGATGGCCAAGGCCCAGGGTGATCCCCAAGGGATGGCTGCAGCCCTGACTTTCCCCACCTGGCTCTGGGTGGGGACCCTGCTTCCTGACTCCCCCAGGCCTGGGATAGCTCTGCGTGGGGACGAGCAAGCTACCCCCACTGACAAGATCACAGATGTACAAGCCGGGACAATGCATCATGCAGCAGCTTTATCCAGGCCTGTCTGCCCTCCCTCCCGAGTGCTGACTGCCCAGCTGTGAGGTGCTCAATAAAGGTGGGCACCAGGGGAGCACCATGGGGACCACCTTCCCTCCCAGACACCAGCCCTTGTGCAAGGCGTCTGGGCTGCCCCAGGGGCATTGGCACTCACAGACGAGTCTGGAGTGAGGGAGGAGTCCTCATCCTGCCCGAAGGAGCCACTGAAGGTCTTAAAAGTCTGGCTGTTCTGTTTGTGCTTCTCAATCGTGGCCTCAATGACCTGAAACAAAAACCACAAAGGACAAAGGCCCTCAGAGAGCATTCCAGGAGGGCGAGGACAGGGTCCTGTGGTCACCGAGTTTTCCCCTGACCAACAGCATCACATGTCGACAAAAGCTGCATTCTGAGATGAGGAAATGAGGCTCAGGGACGTGACCACCGACCAGGTCTCCACACTCCAGCCCCCATGCGTCCCAGTGCCACCCCACACACAGTGCTCCAAGCCAAAGGCAGCCGCTCTCTGGGGACATCCTATACAGATTCGAAGCCATGCTTCTACTTCCTGCATCAGCATTCACATCTAATCTGTTTGAATTTCCTTTTTCTCATCTCATGCAGATTTCTGTTTAAAGACTTTCGGGAGACACAAACCACTGAGGGTTAGCATTTTGCCTGGTGGTGGTCTGCCAACCCTGTTCATTGCCTTGGCTCCTGCTCTGCTTTGGCCCTCCTGACCTTCACCCACTCAGGCCTGTCTCTGTCCCATGTCCCCACCATGGCTAGTTCTGAGCGGAGGCTGCTCTGGCCGTCCCAGGACGCCGCCTGGTCCATCTCTGGAAGCACAGGCTCCATCCTGGAAGTCAAACTGCTCATCCCGCATGAACCACCGCTCCTGCCAGCCATGGGGAGGAGGGTGACATGGACCCCTTTTAAGCTGCCAGACATTGGCGATCTTCCCCCAAGGTGAGGGCGCCTCCCTGCATGCCCACCTCCAGGCCTTTCTGTTTATTTATCTACTGGGGAGCCCCAAATAAGAGAATGGATTGAGCAGTTCATAGTGCTTGAAGGTGCTTTATAAACTCGGTCACATCATCCCTTCAATGTGGATAGATGGGTGGGCAATATGGGGGGACACAGGGCCATCCCATCCCTTGTTCCAACACGAAATGGCCACACTGCTCAAGAATTTGGTCATTTGGTTACTTTAAAACTTTAGGAGCTTCACCTGAATCCATTCTTTCTTCTCCTCTTCGGTCCTGTAAAGGCAAAAACAGTATTTTATTAATTTAGTCTTGGGTACTGACTATAAACTGCCAGCCTCCTCTCCGCCCTGCAGCACATGCCTGAGCTGCTCACTGCCTGGAGGTGCCACTCAAGGCTTGGAAGACTGGCCTCAAAGGCTTTGGAACACTGCGGCCAGTGTCACCAGATACAGCCAGATAAGGTCAAGTGTGGCCACGAGGAGTTAGGTGTGGCCCCATGGCTTCAGGTGGGGTCAAGTGTGGCCCGATGAAGTGAGGCGTGGCCAGGAGCGGTCAAGTTTGGTGCACAGAGCCCTCTGCAGTGGGTGTAAACCAACACCTCCCTGGGCCACAGTGGGTCATTGCAAAGATCTCACGTCATTGGTGAAAGTGAGAGGTGGGATCTCCCACGCACTGCCACCAATCAGAGTGAGAGCCTGGCACCACCTTACGGGGTACTGTGACAACAGCCACCAAAATTTAAAGCAGACATGTTGCCTTTTGGGCAGCAATTCTACTCAGGAATCTATCGGATGGACATAACGACACACAGGAACAAAGCCTGGTTTGTGGACACTGCTTCCTGCACCATTTGTAACAGCAAGACCCTGCACAGCCTAGGAGTCCATCAATGGGAACCAGCCAATGATCATAACGGAAAATTACACTGCTTTAGAAAACGGTGCTCATAAATGGGATGATTTCCGGTAACTTAAGTGAAATAAGCAAGATGCAGAACAGGCTATACAGAAAATGGTCATCCGTGATTTCAAAAAGAGAGACATATATATGAGCACAGAAACCCTGGAGGGATACTTCCAAGATGGTTAAGACTGTCTGCTGGGGGTGGGGAACAGGAGGTGGGCAGAGGCTTAATTTTCATTGGCTTAGGACTGCTACATTTTAAACTACATATAAATGAGTTAAAATGAATGAATAAAAGCACATGGAATGATTATGTGGTTAAGAAAAGGAAGTCATCTGCTAAAATTTCAGGAAAAACACTCACAGAGTAACAGACACCAGGACAGCCGAGCCTACCGAGTTTGTAGCTCCAGGGACCTTTTCTTCCCAGTTATGAGGAACGTGTGCGCTGCATTTGGCTTGACGATGTCCTGCACCTAAAGGCACATGATCAAGGACAAAACAAAAACAGTGGATCACTTTGCAGGCCCTGAACTGTGGAGTCACGTTCTCAGGTTTGGAAGTCTTTGCCTGAGAAGGGAACAGAGGTGACTGAGTGGGTCAGCAGGGAAGGTGCCCATCTTAAGGTCAAGGTTGCTATGGGCCACTGTGTGAGTCAGTCCACTGGGAAGGAGGGACCACCAATCTGCCCAGGCAGGGCCAGGACCACTCATCCACTTTTCTTGGAACTGTGCAGCCAAATCTGCCTGCCTTCAGGGCTCCCCAGGAGGTCAGCCGCTAATGCCTTTCCCCACAAATGTACCCACAGACACTCAAGACTCCTGACAGAGGGATGGGGATCTTTGGAGAAGAGCCAGGAGGATCTCCACCGCTCTGCAGGGGTTTCTGAGGCCCCATGGCAGGTACCTTGGATCTGCAGGCCTCTGCAACAGGGAGCCAATCATTCCCTCAACACCCCACTCCCACAGCCCTTGGCTGGATGTGGCTCACAGGCCGACCACTGTCAGAAGGGATTTCTTTCTTTCTTTCTTTTTTTTTTGGTTATCACTAATGCAAATCTTCACTTTTTAGAATGATTAAATACTTTATTTAGCCAGAATTTTTGGAGTGTCCATTAATTCAAAGCCCTCCCCCATGGGAAAGAGGGATTGATTCTGGCTCCAGCAGCCCCACGGCATGAGACACGGATGGGCTCAGAGAACAGAGACAGCGGGCGGGTTGTCTGGACCTTGCACACAGGTGCCTGCAGAACCTCATCTGGGCTCTAAATGGGTGCAGGAGAGGAGAGAGCATGGGACCGAGGACCAGGGCTCAGGCAGGAGGGGCATCCCATCTGCACTTCCCCCAAGCTTCCTTGAGGGTGTAAATGGGGCCCTGAGTGCTGACTTCACAGGGGACAGGAGTTGGCCCAGGTCCTGGCACTGTCCTTCGCCCTGCGAACATGAGGCCAGCAGTGCCCTGGTGGGTAGGCCAAGCAGAGGGACAGGGGATCCTGTCCACTCAGCCCAGGATGCAAGGCCCTAAGAGATGTCCCGCCAACACCTGGGTCACAGACAGAACCAAGGCTCAGAGAAGGGCAGGTGACCAGGTGCACAGCAGTGAGCGCTTTGCCACCTGCTCTGTGCTCCCCCAGGGCAGCAGATTGGGTGGGAAGGGCTCACCCACCTGGAGGCCGGAAATGTCCATCTTCTCCCGGACACTGAACTTCTGGCCCATGAGCCGCAGTTTGGGCACACAGTAAAGGATCATGCTGTTGAACTGAGATAGGGACGGTCAGGCACGGGGGGAGGGGTGGTTCACCCCACAGAGGAGCACCCCAGGGAGGACGTAAGGCTTCGCTCTGGCTGGAGTGGGCAGAGCTGGGTGGGGCTGGGTTGAGTGTGGGAGGGACTGGGGTTGGACTAGGGGCGTGGCTTAGCAGCTGGGCTCGGCTCTGCAGCTGGTTGGGCCGTGGCTGGGCGAGGGTGGGGCTCCGTGGCTGGGCGGGGCCAGACTCTGCACCTGGGCTGGGCGGGGCGAGGCAGGAGTGGGCGGCTGGGCGGGGCGAGGCAGGAGTGGGCGGCTGGGCGGGCGAGGCAGGAGTGGGAGGATGGGCGGGGAGAGGCAGGAGTGGGCGGCTGGGCGGGACGAGGCAGGAGTGGGCGGCTGGGCGGTCGAGGCAGGGGTGGGAGGATGGGCGGGGAGAGGCAGGGGTGGGCTGGGTGTGGGCGGACGGGCGCTCACCAGGAAGAGGTGACGGTCCTGGGCTGTGCCATTCTTGGCCGACAGCTTCAGGATCTGGCCCTCCTTGATCAGCTCGTTGGCAGGGTTGACGATGTCCTCCTCCCCACCCAGTCTCTCATACACCTCCAAAAGCTTGTGCATTTTCTCCTGCGAGAGACATGGAGCTCAGGCAGCTGCACACCCGCAAGGACTGGAGACCTGCCGGGGATGCTGGGGACCCAGAGATGAAGACCCTGCCCCATAGGTGTGGTCCAGAACCAAGATGGGACCACGAGCCTGCTGACAGTGAAGTGGCAGGGAAAACACCGGGTGACACCCAAGTTGGGCATTGAATAACAGAGGTACACCATGCAGATAGAAATAAATAATAACAGCTAACACCATTGCTAAGTAGATGGCCCTGTTGTACACATGGGTGTTAACTCCTTTAATTCTAGCACCGATCCTGTAATGCTGGTGCCAGCCATTTTTATCCTCAATTTATAGACAAAGAAACTGAGGCATAGAGAAATCAAATGAGTTGCTGGAGATGTTCTCCCCAGAGAACTGGGACTGGCCCTCTCAGCCTCCACCCTGCACGCCAGCTCCTTCCATGGGAGGCATTAAGGGGCATCGTGTCAGAGGAAACACGCTGGGCGGCTATAACTTTTGCCCTGGACATTCCTCCCCTTTGTGGCAGCTGGCTTCCTGCTCTACCCTCGGATGGTCCAGGGCCATCGTGAGATCAGACCTCTCCTATCCTCAGGTCACCCTCTCTGCCTCGAAACTGGTTGGATGGTGAACCAGCACCCCTAGTGGGCGAGGGGAGAGGGTAGGCAGCTCATGGCTCCAGCTCTGAGCCAAGAGGCCACTGGCCCTGACCTGTCACTGCCATGACCAGGGGTTGAGGCAGGAGCGAAGAATGAATGTAGCTGAAGGCAGAGCTGAGCCTTCAGGAACCTCAACCCGGCAACAGGCAGCCTGGATACGCCATGCCAAAGCAGCCACTGCCCTTAGACCTGACCAATCTTACCCTGCACACCCAGAAGCAAGCTAATTTGGCCCTTCTGCCTCTGATATGGACACAAGTGGCAGATGTGGGCATGGGAGCAGGAGAGGGAGCCAGCATGGAGAGTGAGGAGGCGCGTGGAAGGCAGAGCGGAAGGGCCTTGCCTGTCCTGGGTGGGGGCTGGGCGTGCACCTGGTGTGTACTCGGGGGTTGGGTGTGCAGCTGATATGTCGAAGAGCTTGTGTGTACCTGGGAGGCAGTGGCAGGCCAGGGGCGTTGTGAACAGAGACTGACAAAATAAGAGACCTTATTACATATATACATTATATATTATATATATATATAAATAAGAGTGCTAAATGACTTACCAGCAATCAGTCACCAAGCCAGTAAGGAGCAGGCCTGCCTAGCTCTCAGGGGAGTCTCTGTCTTCCCTGGGGGTCGGGTGGGTGAGTGTGCAGGCCGACGGTGTCCGGACCACCCTGTGCTCTCCCTGCCCCAAACTGCTGGTCCTTCAGGTGGCTTCCAGGAGCCCCACACTCACCATTTTCCGAATGGCAGCGTTGGAGTGGTTGGCAGCTGTGGAGATGAGTTCCAAGGACCCTGCAAGAGGAAGACAGGGTCAAGCCACAGGGCGCCTGGTGTCTCTGCACAGGTCCTGGCCCCACGAGGCTGAGTGCCAGGCTCTGCCCTGCTCCTGCCGCTTTCCATGGGTGTGCTGGGCTGTTCACAAGATCTGGCCTAGGGTGTGGGGTGGCGAGTGCCACCCTGCAGACACATCCCATTTGCTGGGAGTCTGCCAGGCTGGCATCCCTCTCCTCTGCACAGACCCTGCCCCATGCTGCCGGCCAGCTGCTGCCCACGAACCAGGAGCAGCTGTGCCAGCCCCACGAGGTCCTTCCCGAGGCCTAAGCTCTGCCAACACATAGCAGCCCCCTCCACAGCCCCCCCATCACCACCTCAGTGGGAACAGGGGTGGTTTCCCCTGACACTCAGAGTCAGTCACTTCCTGTGCCTTGTTTTAGGGGGCACTTGGAAGTCTCTCCCTCTCTGTCTCCCCATCTCTGTCTCTCTCTTTCTGTCTGCCTGTCTCTCTCTCTCTGAATGAGGGTTTTCAGCAAGGGCCCCAGCCCCCACCGCCCAGGAGCCCCTCAGCCTGTGGCCGGCCCTGCTCACTCTCTGCATCCTTCCAGTCTGGGGCGTCCTCCGGGAGCCTCTTCAGATAGTCCTTGAGCAGCAGCTCGTAGCGGGGGACCCTCTGCACGGGCTCCAGCATGTGGTGCTGCAGAGTCAGGTTTCCGCACATCTCCTGCTTCTGCGGGGGAGACAGGTGGCGTAGGGCACCCATGGACACCTGCGTGGATCCCAGACCCACCTCTGCTTCCAGCCTCTGCAGCCCCCAGGAGGCTGCCTAGAGTATTGCACCTGGCTGACTGCAGACCGCATCTTAACAGCAGAGGAAACTGAGGCTTGGAGAGGTGGAACGATGGAGCTGACCCCCAGGCAGGCCAACTCTAAATCCAGTGCTGGCCCTTTTATACACATCCTCATTGGAGATTGTTCTGTGGTGACAGCTGGGGGGACCCAGACATAAATGAAGGGGTGAGGGTGCAGGGGCTCAGGCAAAAGGGGAGAAGGAAACATTCAGCCTTAGAGCTACACTCTCTGGGGAGGGACAGGGATGCTGAGAGATGCAGGGGGTTGATCTAGGATTTACAGGAATAAATCATGGGTGACCTGATTATAGCAGGATCTGGGGAAACACGGAAAGTTATCAAAGAGCTACTCCAAATCTGGGCCTGGCCTCCAAACCCTCAGCACACAGGGGCTCAGTGCCCATTAACCCTCCAGGGTCAGTGAAGAATACATGTGCACGATGCATGTGTGCATTGTGAACACACATGTATGTATTACATGCATGCATGGCGTGCATGTGGCACATGAGTGCCTATGCACATGTGTGTACATGTGTATGCACTGTGTGTGTGTGTTTAGCAATCGGGGTCACTTGTCCCAACACCCTATTGGATTTGTACCTTACCCACAATCTGTCTGGAAACTATTCTGAGATAGCATTTTTAATTTTTAAAATGAAGCCATACATCAGAAGAAAACCTCATTTATATAACTGTAGAGTGGGAAATGCATTTTTTAAATTATTTTTTTAACAGAGGTACTGGGGACTGAACCCAGGACCTCATGCATGCTAAGCACTCCCTCTACCACTGAGCTATACCTGCCCCCTGGGAAATGCATTTATAAGCATTACTTAAAAGATTTTTTTAAAGAATTACTTTATTTAAAAATGGTGAATGTGGGATGGGAAGGGACAGACTGGGATTTCAAAATGTAGAATAGATAAACAAGATTATATGGTATAGCATAGGGAAATATATACAAGATCTTGTGGTAGCTCACAGAGGAAAGAATGTGACAATGAATATATGTATGTTCATGTATAACTGAAAAATTGTGCTCTACACTGGAATTTAACACAACATTGTAAATGACTATTACTCAATAAAAAAGTAAAACAAAATTGGTGAATGTGGCTAATTAAAAACCAAAAATTTTGTATGGAAAACAACATCATAGATAAAGTTAAAAACTAAAACATCAGTGGGAGAAAATAATTTGCAATACAGATGACAGTTAACAGCTGACGTTCCTAGCATGTAAAAACCTCATGAATCAATGAGAAAAGATCAAAGCGCAGCAGACAACAGCAGGCAGAGATGTGAACAGGCTGTTTGCAGAAAAAGAAAAAGAAAAGACTGGTCCACGAGCCACTGAGGGACCCTGTGGAGGGGGACAAGCATTTGGATCCAGGTTCCATCGAATAATAGCTTGTGACGACACAAATCGCACAGTCTCCTGGAGCCGTGATTTCCTCACCCATGAAATGAGAATGACGATTTGTCTCTGGGAGTTAAGGATCAAAGCAACAGTAGAGCATCTGGATGCATCCCACAATTTGACTGATTTTCTCCGTGTTGAAACACAAGCCCAGCCCTGTGCCTGCAAAGCCGAGGTGGGGCCGCCCTACCTGGATGCCTTGGACAATGTCTTTAAACAGCGGTGAGCGCTGGGTCCAGGTGCTCACCAGCTCCATGGCCCGGTCGAAGTTCTTCACATACTCGCCATACATCTTGAGGAATGGGGCCAGCTTCTGCAGAATGTCTCCAAGGCGGGGGTTCGTGTCCCTTCATGGGGGAGTGAGGTCGTCAGACAAACAACTCCAGTGAAGGGCCTGGGTGGGACGGGACTTCACCAGAGGGCTATGGGGCAACGGCCTGACTCCCAGCTCTGTGATGGTGGGCAGACCGGTCCCCCTCTCTGAGCCTTACTTTCCTCCCCTGTTTCATGGGGGACGGAAAATAGTGTGTTACCTAGACGTAAATGAGAGGCTCATGTAAAGCATTTCAACAGTGCAGTCACAGGACCATTGCTGAAAACCAGGAGATGTTAGTAGCAATGGAACCACTCTAATGACAGGCCACTGTTCTCAAAGAGAATCAAGAAAACCCCATTATGCCCCTTTTATATGAGCAAAGATTAGAAACAATGGGACGATCCAACATTGGCAACGTTATGAGAAAGCAGTACTGGGTAATAATGGATAGTTTGGAAATAAATTGGGATTTGGAAATAAGTCTCAAGAAGCATAAAATATATTGCCAATCTTTGACCTTAGAACTGTGAGGGATTTATCCTAAAGAAAAAAAGCACGTGCACAAAGTCATCTTCTGCGGCATCACTAGGAATGCGCACTTGGGGATTTAGCTCATAGGCCCCCTAGCAGGCCACGCACTGTCAGTCTCTCCAGGGCCTTGAGGAGGAAGCCCATTTCTAGCAGGTGTGGACTGCGTGGGTCCAAAGGCCAGTCCAGGCCTGACTTTAACCCAGCGGCCTTGGGGACACAGTGTAACCTGCTCTGCAGGGAGGAGTGTGTCCTTCTAAAGATTTATAAATGGACCTGGACTCTGGCTGAGCCTTGCAGGTGCAGGGACGCCCCGCAGTAAAGCCCCTGGCCTCTGTGCTCTCCCTGGCCCGGCTGCAGCTTGGCGAACGGGCTCTTGGGGACATCACAGGAGAACCACACACCGGCTCAGTGCAGGCCAGCGAAGAGAGGAGTCACCAGAGACCTCAAAGCAAAGCTGCAGCAGCGCCCAGAATGGAGGGGCAAGCACATAATGTGGACAATGGCAAGCTGGGAGCCGAGCCTGTGATGGTTAATTATCACGACTCGCAGCTGAGCTGTCCCTCTGCTGCGAGTGACAGAAATGGCAGAGGGACAGAGGGGTAGCCCCCCGGGAACACTCTTGAGGGGGAAAGAAATCTCATTTTTCTAAAGCAAAGGTGCAATATATCCTAGGAGGGCAAATAAACCGACAGGCACTGTCTATCTACTGTTTGGTGTTTGCAGATGTCAAACCTCATTTAAATCCCACAAAGCCCCGAGAAGGTATTAAAGTCCCTTTAATTTGCTGGTGAAGAAGCGAAGGCTTGGGGACCCTGAGAGGCCATGGGGTCAGGGTTGGCCGAGGACCCTGCAGAAAGAGAGTCCAGGGCCCTATGAGACCGGACTCCCCTCCAGGTGTCTCTTGGCTTTGGGGCATGCAAACCCCGGATTTAGAGGCTGCTTGGCAGGGAGAAATCAACAAACCTGCTGCAACAGGATCACCATGACTTTCAACCGTCATGGGCATTAGAGCCAACCCCCCACCCCCGCCCCCAACCACCACCACTTCCCGGCACCATGAGCTGCACTTACCACTCATTTGTGATCCGTGTCTGCAGCTCAGGCAGGAGGAACTGTCCGTGGAAGCGATAGATGGAGGAGATGTTAGAGAAGATACCCGTGATGACTTCCGAAGGGATCCCTGCTTCCGTCAGCTGGGTGCAGAAAACCTGGGCACGGAGAAGCCCACGCGGTGGTCACTGAGCGTGGGTCACTGCAGATGGCTGGGACGGTGCTTCCGCTGCAGGTATGCGAGCTCAGCAGAAGCTGCCACTGCCTTACGTTTTCTTAGTTTTTTTAATTAAAAAAATTCTTTGTACTGACGTATCATCAGTTTACGATGCTGTGTCAATTTCTGGTGCACAGCACAATTCTTCCGCCATACATGAACATACATATATTCCTTTTCATATTCTTTTTTACCGTAAGCTACTACAAGATATTGAATATAGTTCCCTGTGCTATACAGTATAAGCTTGTTTATCTATTTTATGTATACCAGTCGGTATCTGCAAATCTCGAACTCCCGGTTTATCCCGTCCCACCCCCCTCCCCTGCCTTGTGTTTTCTTAATGAGCTTTCCAGTTCATCAAACTGGCTCAGAGGACCTTAAAAGTCTTAAAGCAAGTTTACTTAGGGCTAAGAATTGGGGGTGTGGCAGGGACAGTCCCCTCTAGAGAGGGACAGGACATCTTTCATCCATCTCTCATAAGAAATGATTGGTACTGATTTCCTTTCTCTGCTTTGTAAGCTACAGACAGAAGCAGGACCTGTCAAAATCCAGTTTTCTACTGGAGTTTTACTTCCTGTGCTCATAAACCCCATGTTGTCACCTGGACAGGGAGAGTGCCACCCACTGTCTCAACTATTTATGCAAAAGGATGTCCAGAGGTCATTTATATGCTCAGATATTTTAACTACCAGGAAGAAAAAAACCTCAAAATGACTGGGTAAGAGCTTTGCCTGAGAGCCACAAGCTGTGAAGGTAAAAACTAAGAATTTCTGCAGAAGACTTAAATTTGCCCGAGTTTTAGTATTCATGTCAGTTGGACTCCAACTGCGAAGCCTAGCCAATGCTAGGATAGAAAGTTTGTCTCCCAAACTCGCCATTGAAACTCTGGAAGTAGACAAAGGCAAGCCCCTAGCCAGGAGGGCTACCTGGTCCAGCAGGTGCAGTCGCTTCACGTAGGTCTCCTCGGTGTGCAGGAGCTCCTGGGCAATGTGGAGCAGCTTCTGCGGCTCAGAGTGCTGCAAAGAGAAGGGCTCACCTGGGGAAGATGATCTTTGGGGAGGCAGCATCTGATGAGGGCTACCTGCTGCACGCCGGGGATGACCAGGGGCCCCGAAAAGCCAGAGGAGGCTGCTGGGACTGGGATGTAAGGCTCAGTTTCTGTAACAGTTTCTGCCAATCCCCACAAGGCTTCTGAAGCCCAGAGAAAAGTCTATCTTCTTGGGGCTTTGACTACAGAGCAGCCGCAGTAGCCACGTTAAAATGTATTGTAATGTCAACAAGAAGACAGATCAAAAATCTAAAGGCCCTCCTCCCCCCATGAAGACATGGAGTTAACACAATATACAAACCAGAATAGCTTTGTGAAAAGTCCGGAGACCAGCTGAGAAGCTACAGCTTCCAAGCCATTGTAAAACTACGAAGAGAGGCTAGCAAATGGAGAAGAAAAACTGGCAGTGTTTGGCACACCCTTTTGTGTTCCTCCCTCATGCAGCATTGTGCAGCACAATTGGGAGGAGCCTCCCCTTCTGGGGCTCCTCCCTCAGGATGGAAACAGAGGAGTGAACAGTGCACGCAATGCTCTGGCTTATCTGGAAGCTGCCTGAGGGACTGGTTTCTGGTTTCTGTCTTGCCTGACTTGGAGTGCTGTCATGACCAGTGCCAAAGTTTGAAAGCTTCTGGAAATAGAGAGAAGCAGCATGTTACAGCTGATGCTCTGCAGGTAGATGCAAGGGGAGCAAGAGATCAGACAAAGTTTAACAGGTCTTTGAACATCCGGCCTGACTAGCAAAGGCTTTCCCTGCACAAAGCAAGCATACTAAGACTGAGAGGTGGTTGTTTCTCAGATGCCCAAATTCCAGCAAAAAATTACCCAAAAAAAGGGGGTGGGGCATGACTCGATTAAAGAAACAAAATAAAATCCCAGAAACCAACCCTAAAGAAACACAGATCTATGAGCTGCCTACAAAAAAATTTAAATACCAGTCATACAGATGCTCAATGAGCTAAAAATGAACGCAGACAGCTAAATGAAATCAAGACAATTATGATGAACTAAATGAGAATATCAATAGAGAAATAGAAATGATAAAAGAAGAGCCAAGCAGAAATTCTAGAGCTGAAAGATACAATAACTAGACTGAAAAACTCATTTGCAATTATTGAGTCAGAGGAGCAAAAAGAAAAAACAATGAAGAAAAGCAAAGAGAGCCTAAAGAATTTATGGGACACTGTCAGATGGACCGATAAAAGCATTACAGGAGTCCCAGAAGAAGAGGAAGAGAGTGAAAGAAGCAGAGAGCTTACTCAAAGAATTGGTATCTGGAAAAAAAAAAGAAAAGAAAGAAAGAAAGCTGGGTAGGCTCCCATGAAGCCTAACCATAAGGCAAGGGGAAAAGGAGTAACACATGGAGCACCTGCTGGGCGCCAGGCAATCTTTTCACCATCACCATACGTTTAAAGAGATCTTATTTGCCAAGCACCGCCTTTAAAGTAAGGACTTTCGCATCACACGGCATGGGTTTGAATCCCAGATTACTAACTATGTAACTTTGGAAATGTTACTTATCCTCTTTGTGCTTCAGTTTTGCCATTTGTAAAATAGAGATTGTAGAACAAGGTTATTCCTACAGTTAAATAAAATTAAAATAGTCACAGGTTAAAAAAAATAATTAACGGCTGAAAACTTCCCAAATATGGTGAAAGAACTGGACATACAAGTTCAAGAAGCTCACGGAACTCCAACTAGGATAAACCCAAAGAACAACACTGGGAGTCATTAGAATAATAAAAAAAGGAAGTGGGATGATGTATTTAATGTGCTAAAAGAACAAAACTGTCGGCAAGAATACTGTACCCAGCAAAGCCAGCCTTCAAAAATGAAGGGGAAATGAAGACTTTGCCAAATAAATAAAAGATGCAGAGTTCACTACCACTAGACCTGTTCTACAAGAAGTGCGACTGGAAGTCTTTCAAGTTGTGAAAAGCTGGTAGACAGCAGCGTGAACCTGTGTAAAAATATAAAGTCCTTCAGTAAAGGTAAATGCACAAACAAATATAGTAACCTGTACTATTGTGATTTTGGCACAAAATAACACAAAAAGGACAAAAACACTTAAAAACTAGAAATCTATGTTAAAGAGCATACTGTATACAAAATACGTAATTGGTGGTATCAACAACATAGAGTGTGGGGGAGGGGAGCTGTAAAGGAGTAGTTTTGGTGTATCTTTGAAGCTAAGTTGTTATCAGCTTAAAGTAAAATACTATAACTTTAAGTTGTTTTATATAATTGCAATAGAAAATATATTTTGAATACATACAAAAGGAAATGAGAAGGGAATCAAAGCATATTATTGCAAAAAACGTCAATTAAACAAAAGGAAAGCAGTAAATGATGGACCAAAAAAAGCCAAAAGACAAACAGAAAGCAGTGAACAAGGCAACAATAAGTCCTTCCCTATCAGTAATTACTTTAAACGTAAATGAATTAAACCCTCAATCAAAAGACATGGATTGACTGAGTAGATTTAAAAAATGTAAGGGTATACATAGGCTGAAAGTGAAAGACGGAAAAAGATATTTCTTGCAAATGGTAAACAAAAGAGATCAGGAGTGGCCATATTTACATCAGGCAAATTAGACTTTAAATCTTTTTTTAAAGTTACACAATACAAAGAAGGACTTTATATAATGGTAAAAGGACTGATTCACTAAAAAGATATAACAATTGTAAATATTTATACACCAAACCTCAGAGCTCCCAAGCATATGAAGCAAACTTTGACAAAATTAAAGAAACAGATAGCAATAAGGTCATCATAGGAGACTTCAATACTCCACATTCAATATTGAAAAGGACATGCAAAATATCAATAAGGAAACGGGGGTTTGAATTACACCAGAGACCAAATGAACCTAACAGACAAATGCATCACTCTCCATCCATCAACAGCAGAACATACGTTCTTCTCAAGAGCACGTGGAACATTCTCCAGGACAGACTACATGTTAGGCCGCAAAACAAGTATTACCAAATCCCAGAAGACTGAAATCATAAAAGTATCTTTTCCAATCAAAACAGACTGAAACTAGAAACCAGCAGCACAGGGAAAACTGGAAAATCCACAGATGTGTGGAAATTAGACAATACACTCTTAAACAAGGATCAAAGAGGTCACAAAAGAAATTAGAAAGTAGCTCGAAACAAATGAAATGAAAACAACATATCAGCCTTCTGGAATGCAGCCAAAGTGGTGCTCAGAGAGCTGTTTATAGCTGCAAATGCCTACGTGAAAAAGGAAGAAAGAGCTCAGATCAACAACCCAACTTTACAGCTCAAGATGAGAAAAAGAACACATTCGATCCAAAGCAGTCAGGAGGAAGGAAGTAACAGAGATTATAGTGAAGATAAAAGAAACAGACAGAAGAAAAACAATGGAAAAATTTTGACAAAACTAAGAGTTGATTTTTGAAAAGATAAACAAAATTGACAAACCTTCAGCTAGACTTACCAAAAAAAAAGAGAGAGAGAGCGAGCGAGTGAGAGGACTCAAATAAATAAAATGATACATGAAAGAAGAGACACTACAACTGATACTATAGAAACTAGAGATCCTAAGAGATGGCTCCGAACAATCACATGCCAACAATCAGATAACCTGGAAGAAATGGACAAATTCCTAGAAACCATGACTGAATCATGGAGAAATGGAAAATCTGCACAAACCAATTGCAAGGAAGGAAGTTGAATAAGCAATTAAAAACTTCCCAACAAAGAAAAGCTCAGGACCAGGTGGCTTCGCTGGACAGCGAATACCATTTACTCTCAAATTTTTCCAAAAAACTAAAGGATAAGGGACACTTCCTAATTCATTCTATGAGGCCAGCAGTATCCTGCTACTGAAACTCTGGGCCTTGCTTATCCTGGAGGGGCTGTCCCTCCCAGGGTTCGCTGGTTCCTACAAGTATAAAAGACTCGCCTGCAAGAATGTCTCTCACACACAAACCAGCCCATCCAGAGCCCATAACACAACCACCTTCTTTATATTTGCTGTCCCCCTACTTTCCTGCCCTAATCACACAGGGCCGGATGCCAGACATCCAGGGACAGCCCCTGTGCCCAAAACCCACTAAAATTATTCAAACTGGCCAGTCCTAAACCTGCATATTCCATCTCGCCCATCCCTCTCCTTCGAAACCACAATAGACTCTCGCCACATCTGTAACTTACATAAGATTGTACCTCAACTATACTTCAATAAAAAAATCATCAAATGATGTTTAAAAAAAGACTCTTGCTCACAGTTTCCACTCCCTCTGCCTCCTGCCTACCCTGGTGCTTCCCCTCCTGACCCCCCATGGTGTGGGGTGCCCCTCCTCTTGGGAACTGTGAGTAATAAACTGACTTTCAGTGGCAGTCATCTCCTGATCTGTTGGCTTCGCCATTCCTGAACAATAATAAAACCTGGATTAAAACATGGCCCCAGCCCACCCCCTGAGAACTTGGCTCACAACAGTGCAGGCCAGTGGCAGCCCTCTGCCCACCAAGTCTATCTCATGATGCAGCCACGTTAGTCGATACCTCCTGCTCCAGGGAGCCAGCAGGTCTGACCCCCGGTCACTTGCAGCTTATCCACACCGATCTCCCCCAGCACAGGCGGTCTCTAAGCCAGGGGCTGTCAGCTTTACTTCTGTGTGTCCACGTGAGTCACAGTGTAGATAGAGCCCAGAGCCCAAGATGCAAAGGGGCACAGATGAGCTTTCTCTCAAGGCCGACCCACAACGCGTGGGCACACCTGCAGCCAGAGCCATCTGCTTAAAGCTCAGGGCTCCACTCAGATGCCTGGGCTTCCTTCCTGCCTCTGTCACACCTGGTGAGCAACCCTGGGTTTCCCCATTCATAAAACAGCGTGACACTCATGCTGTCTTCCTCATGGGGGTTCTTCAAGGCAGGCCCCAAGCACTGGCGGAGAGTGCTGGTGGCCACACTGTTTCCACTAAGACCAACCAGCACAGCCACCCTGGGGTGGCGTCCCTGTGCCGCTGTGTGGCCATGGAACTGAGGCTTGGGGATGAAATCACCGCTTGCGTGGTCCTTCCCCAGGGCCTGCCCACCAACCCATCACAGGGGCCTCTCTGAGTGTGGTGTCTGAATGTGCACCCCACCGCTGGCACCAGGCCTGGGTGGTGCCACTGTAAACCTCATGTACCCTCGGAGGGGAGCCCTGCAGCCCCTGACCCCTGGGATGGCAGGGTGGCCTACCTTGGCTGGATCCACATCGGCCCTCAGGGCGTTGTTCTCAGGGTCTGGCTCCTCGCTGCTGCCCTCGCCCACATCGCTATCGACCTCCTCCCGTGGGGCCTTGCCATCCGTCTTGCCATCCGCCTTGCCATCCGGGGTTGTGTCTGGGTGCAGCGCTTTGGTGGTGGGGCCTGGGCCCGCCTCACCGCTCTCCTCGCAGGGGAAGTGCTCGCCGACCACGCTGCAGGAGGGGCTGTCGATCCCGCTGTCCCGATTAGGGATCTTAGAAATGCTGCTGGGGTCCCCCACAGAGCCTGTGTCCTGGGTGTTGTGTCCCGCAGAGGCCTGGCTGCCAGGGCTCCCAGAGGCAGGGTCCCCACAGTGGGCTTCAGGCCCAACAGGCAGTGCTTGGAGCTTCCCTGGGTCTGCACTTGGGAGGTCCAGAGACGAGCTGCTAAGCCCAGTGTCTGGGTCCTTCAGGGTGACAAGGGTGGCTGGGGACGTTGAGGAACCCCCTTCTGACTCCATCCTCCAAGTTGATCTCTCTGAGCTCCTTGAGGGGCTGGCCGGGAGCTTCCTGTCGGGGAGAAATCAGCACAGTCAGTGGCAGCTGGGCTGTGGACCGGCCCCCAAGTGGGGCCCCTGGGGAAAGTCAGCATGGGGGGCGGTGGGCTGGGGCTGTGTGTGAAGTGAGCACCCCGGTCAGCCTCAGCTGCATCCTGGCTTGGCAGGCATTCGGGCAATGGCAAAAGAAAGGCATTTTACTTTTAAAATAAATTTTTATACTAAAAAAAAGATGGCAGGAAGAGAGAGATAGGGAAGGAGGGAGAGAAGAAAGAAAAAGAAAGGAAGGAAGGAAGGAAGGAAAGGAAGGAAGGAAGGAAGGAAGGAAGGAAGGAAGGAAGGAAGGAAGAAAGAGAAAGAAAGAAAGAAAGAAAGAAAGAAAGAAAGAAAGAAAGAAAGAAAGAAAGAAAGAAAGAAAGAAAGAAAGAAGAAAGAAAGAGAGAAAGAAAGAGAGAAAGAAAGAGAGGAAGAGAGGAAAAGAGGAAGAAAGAAAGAGAAAGAAAGAGAGGGAGGGAGGGAGGAAGGAAGGAAAGGAGGCAGGAATGAATCCTGTTGCATGAAGCTACTTGTTCCTCGATGAACTCAAAATATAAGCAGGAAATAATAGTGACGTTAATAATAACCGTTGTGAGCGCAGTGGATGTGGTCTATGCCGTGCCTTGGCATCCACAGCACCCTTTATCCGACGGTGCAGCTCTGAGGTGAGGCAGGATGCCCATCAAGACCCCTCCTCCCCATCACTGCTGCTGTTCTGTCTGACAGGTGCTGGGGCTACTTTGTGCTCTCACATCGCGCCTCTCCTGGAAACCCTTGCGGAGGAAAGTGTCCGTCCAGATGCACCGAGAGGGTCAAAGGTGAGACAGGACCAGGGGAGACTGATGTTCCCCGAACTCTTCTGCTTGAATCTGCAGTGGAGCTTTGGGGGAGGACGGGGACCAGGAGCGGCAGTCACTTAGCCCTGGGTGACAGGTGGGTTACCTGAGGCTGTCGGACTCCGAGGGGGCACTGAGGTGAAAGGGTGGGTTCCCGAGGCTCCCTGCTGGCTGTGTTCTGGGACGCTGGGGTTGGCCAGTCCAGGCTTTGCACGAACGGGGCTGGGGGGATTTGCTGCAAATCTTTTTCTTGCCCGCAGTTTTGAAGTGGAGCAGTTCAGAAGGTTCTAAAAAAAAACAAAACATGAAAGGAGAATGAAAATCACCTTCTCCGCTGGCACATGGAGCAGCCTGGGTGACAGGGCCGGTTCTCAAGGGGGAGGATGGGAAGGGCAGCTCCATGCCACCACCCAGGGCAGTGGGCGCCTGGCAGGTCACAGGGGCACGGGTGGATGGAGCACGGCTGAGTCCCTGGCCCCCAGTGCAAGGGGACACCTGCGGCAACGTCCAGGGCATGGAGCAACTTCTAGGGCCTGGCTGAAAATTGAGGGCCAGAATTGAGCTTGTCCCCAGAACTGAGCTTGTCCCCAGCCACGCAGTGACTCCAGGAGGCAGGGACCTCTCGAGTGTGCAGAGTTTGAGGCAGGCACCACCGCGCACCCTCCCCGTGCTCACACTTACACTCAGCTCTGCTGCCAGTGGCTTCGCCACACTCCTTTCCTCACTTGCTAAACAAAATAAAGACCCATCAGTGGAGACACAGGTCTCTCACACACACACACACTCTCAAAACCAGAAAGGTGTCCTGGAGCCTGACCCTTGGCTGCCCACGCAGCAGAAGGGCCCCCAGGCAAAGTGTGCTCAGAAGTGAAGCAGGAGGCACCTTTGCAGGCGTGTGGCATCGCGGGCCCGGGAGGCCCCACGAGTCAAGCAGCAATTCTGCAACGGTCTCCCTCACTCTCGCCTTCTAGTGCAGTCCAATTTCTTCTGAGTGGACCTTTCTCGAAATGACACCCAAACCAGCGCAGGGTGCGCATTTATCACTGGCCACTGCCACATTCTTAAAGAGCTTAATGCAGAGAAGTAGCAAGATTTCTAAACAGAAAACACACGCTTTGCTGCATTCTTCTCATAGCACAGGCGATAAACTCGTTTCCAGAAATGAGACATGACACAGCAGTAAAAATATGCCAAATGGAATGTAGGCCACACACTCAGCTTCCTACGTCTGGTGCCAGGTGGAGCCTGCTGCAGCCCCACCTTGGGGATTCCTGCTTCTGATCAAGATGGTATAACAGAAACTGGAGTTACTCTTTCCTGAAAACAACCAAGTCATGGATGAAACATACGAAACAGCACCTTGAGGACACCCTACACCAGGCAGCAAAGCACAGTACTTCTGAAAGGTGGGACCCAGGGCAGTGAGCCTTCTGTTGCCCCAGCTTCCTGCCCGGAGAGGGGACCCCAGGTAGATCCCTGAGTGAGGAGATGGAGCTGACAGTCCAGGGAGACCAAGGCAGCTGGAGGTCACAGGATGGACCGCTGGACAGAGCTGCACACAGCGTGGATTGCTGAAGAGGGCCCTTGAGCATGGCTTGATGTACGTGTGAGCAAACTCCAAGGCTGGAGAAAGAAGTGTCTGAGGTCAGAGGAACCATCACCTGGTGCTCACAGAGGGCAGGGAATACACCTGTTTCTATCAGCCAGACTGGAAACCCCGAGATCCACGGGCAGTTAAGAGAGCTTGGAAGGTCTTGCCCCACAGTGAGCCCTGCTCAGGTCCCAGCTAACAAATGCCAATGAATTTTAACAAGAAAGCCCATTTGTGAACAAGCAACTTAAGTGCATCCCTAAACAGCACTCAAGATCAATTATAGGAGCACAAACATATCCAGGATCCTGCAAGGTGAGATTTACAGGCACTGACATCCAACCAGAAATAATCAGACACAGAGGGCAGGCGTACACAACCCACAGTGAGGAGGAAGAGTCAGTGAGTTGAAACTCACTCACATCTAACACAGATGCCAGAATTAGCAGACAAGTTCACTAAGGCAGCAGCGGTACCTACATTATGTTAAAAAAGTCAGCAGATACATGGAAAATGTAAAAAGGTGCGCTGGACCAACTTCTAGAGATGAAAACCACAGAGTGTGAGATCAAGGCCCACTGGAAGGGACTGATGGCAGATTAGACTTTGTAGAAGAAAAACGAGCAAATCTGGGGAGGCGATAGAAGCTATCTAAAGTGAAGGAGAGAAAGAGAGAATGAATTGTGAGATGCCTGAAAACTTTAAGCAACATAATCAATGGTTGCACATAATATATGTGTAACCAGTGTGTGTGTGTGTGCATGTAATTGGAGTTCCCAAAAAGGGAGTGAGCTTGAAAAATATTTGGGAAAAATAATGACCAAAGGTTTTCCAGATTTGATGGAAACTATAAATCCACAGATCTACGAAGCTCAGTAAAGACCGAGCACAAGAAATGTTTATATTTAAACATTTTTCCACATAGAAAACTCCAGGCTTCGATGGTGAATTCTATCAAACATTTGACAGAGAAATGATACAATTCTACACAAACCTGTTGGCCACGGAGGGAAACAAGAAGGCTTTCCACAACATGGATGAATCTGGAAATATTATGCTGAGGGAAAGAAGGCGGGCAAAAGAAAAGGTATCTGTTTGTTTTCCATTTACATAGAATTCTATGAAATGTTCACTCTCTGGTGCCAGAAAGCAGACAGGGTGTTGCTGGAAGGAGGGGTGGGTGTGCTGTGGGGGTTACAACGGAACACAAGGAAACCTTCAAGGGGTGACAGACATGCCCTTCATCTTGACAGTCGGTGACACTATCACAGGTATATATACATATGTTGTACCATCAAATTGTACATTTGAAACACATGCAGTGAATTGGATGTTGACTGTACCCCAGAGAAGGTGACACCTCTGGGTTGAGCAAACTTGTGAGTTGCTGATATTCACCGAGGGTCATTTGCCTTGTTACAGAAGGGACAATGACTCACACAGAGGACGGTGGTGAGGGGTGGGGCAGACCTGGAGCCTCGGGAGACTGCAGCAGCCTGGTGCCTGCCTGGGTGTCCCATCAAGAGGAGGGAGTGGGCCCTTCCTCTGGAGGCCCCTTAGCCATGACCAATTTATCTTCCAAGGGCTTTTGTGTGAGGGCGGCTGAACCACGCTCGGCCAGACTGGAAAGCCCAGGGCTCAACATAAAGACGTCCTCCAGGGAGCAGAGTATGTGGCTGAGGGAGGTCCTGGTTGCGGAACAGCTGAGACCACCCTCTGATCTGATCCAAGAAGCTGCGGGATCCAGCCCACGGCCTCACTTACCTCAGGACTGGTCTCCCCGCTGCCTTTCCAAGACCAATGTGAGTGCAGGGTAGGCCAGTCCGATTCCAGCCTCCCTTCCACGCTGCTCAGAGGAGCGGGGGGAGGGCGGGAGGGATGGGGGTGTTGGGGGAAGATGCATGTGCAAGTGTGCCCACAATATACACACACACACACCTCCATAGTAGACCTGTGTGCACACAGATCACAAGCACACATACACAAATAAACATGCACACAGTTATACACACACACACACCCGCCATATGTCGGGAGCTGTACAGAGCACTTTTGTACGCTTGCTCAGTCACCAAGATGGGTGACATTTTTTGTTCCAGACAAGGTTGCCAAGGCTGACCCTGCCATGCTAGCCTGGAGGGGACCAATGCTCAGGACCCTGGAGCTGGGTCCACCGAACATATTGCTCTGAACCCCTTGGACTAAGCTCTGGGCTCATTCTGACTTGCCCAAGGCCAGGGACGTGTCACCACACACGAGTCAAGGAGCATTTGTCATTTCTGTCTTCCCAGCCACTCAGCTCTCCTTTCAGAAGCCCTGAGCCCCCTGAGCTGAGTGAGCCCACCCCAGGTGGAACGCAGAATGCAGCCAGGGCCCCTGACACCCGAGGCTGCCACCACTCAGCATCCAAGGCCCCAAAGCTGGGCCTGGGGGAGGTGTGGGGGCTGGAGAAGCACAGAGGGATTAAATGTGCCCCACTCTCCAGGGCGCAGTGGGCCACTTCAGCAGCTCCATCCTCAGCAGGCAGTGGATAGGGTAGCACGAAGGCTGTGGTCCCTGCCCTGGCCCCAGACCGCCTGGTAGCTGCCAGAGACAGGCAGGGAAAGTCCTGTAGACAGGCCACAAGTCTTCCCACCGCCCAGTCCACCTGCTGCCAGACGTCCCCACCTTGGAAGCAGTACAGGAGCCTCCACAAGCCACCACTATGCCATCATTTCGCTTGCTGCCTGTTACCTGGTAACTTGGAGGCCCCAAGTAGGCAGGGACCTCCACTGTCTTGTCACTGACATGGCCCGATGGCCCCTGCCGTGTGCCCCAGCACAGAAGAAGCCTTGGAAACAGTCCCAGCCCTGACTGGCGACAGTCCCCAAGAAACCCTGAGTGAGAGCCACCCGACTGCACCCCACCAGCCCCAGAATCAGGAGAGATGACACTGCTCGGTGGGGTTGCTCTTTGCCCCACCATGTCTGGGTGGTTGGGTACAAACAGGAGGTCATCCGAACAATACGGGACGCACCGCGGGGTGATACCAGAAACCGCTGTGCTGCGCACACCTGCACGCAGGTCGCAGGCTGGGAGACGAGGCGGCAGAAAGCCACGAGGCTGCATCAGCAGTGACAGAGCTCTGGCTGCCCTGGCCATGCGGATGCAGCAACAGATGGCACGTCAGCGAAGCCGCCCCGTGCCCCGGAGCTGCCTTCACTCCAGCGCCAGGATCCAGAAGCACAGTACTTGCCTTGGGGCCTCAGCCTGCGAAGCGCTCTGGCTGCAGCCGGTGCGGTCTGAGGTCTCCATCGTGTGTGCTGAGAACACGGAGATGGACACAGACGCCGTGGAGGGCCACATGCTTCAGAATTCGGTGGGAGTCAGTGGGACCTCGGGGTGGGCTGGGACGCCAGGGCCAGCTGAGTGGGGAGGAAAGAAGACAGATCAACACAGCACCGCCCCTGCTTGTTTGCACGCCCTGATCAGATGTTTCCCCAGAGCACACCATCACTTTTAAAAATCGCTGTTGCCTTTTTAAACCGTACGAGTGATGGGTCCTTTTTTAAAGAAAACTTAGAAATCATGCAAAAAAAAAAGCAAGAGTTACCCATCAGCCCTAGCACTGGGATGCTGGTGAGTGGACAGGGGTCTGCAGGCTGGGTGGCGGGGTGTGAGGAGTGTGGGGGTCCTAACGCTCCTAGGTGTGCTGCAGCCTTTCTTAGAGACGCCACATCTGTTTCCACATCAAATTCCAACACGAATTCCCTATTTCCTCAAGAACGCATTCCTCTCCAAAGAACTGAAAGCAGAGACTCACAGATGTTTGCACCCCCGTGTTCACAGCAGCATTACTCACAATGGCCAAAAGGTGGAAGCCATGCAAGCGGCCATCAGCAGATGAACACATACACAAAATGTGGCAAATACGTACAATGGAACATTATTCAGGCTTAAAGAGGAAGGAAATTCTGGCACGTACTTCAACATGGATGAACCCTGAGGACATGTGGATTGAAACACCCTGGACAAGTATGGATCCACTTATAGGCGGTACCTGGAGTCAAATCATAGTGACAGAAAGTAGAATGGTGGGTGTCAGGGCTGAGGGAGGGGAATGGGGAGGGAGGGGATGGGGAATGGGGAATGTTTAATGGAACGGATTTTCAGTTTCAAATGATCAGAAAGTTCTGGAGATGGCGTGGTGGTGATGGCACATAACAATGCGACTGTACTCAATGCCACTCAACTGTACACTGAAAAGTGGTTGAACTGGTAAATTTTATGTTATACATATTTTACCACCAAAAAAAAGCTGAAAAAAGGGGGGGGGAATGCATTTCAGAAAGGTTCTCATCAGAAGTTCCATGAATTAGGGCCAAGATGACAGTGATTCAAAGCACCTAAAACTCCCTGCCGAGCACTCCTGTTGCCCTGGGCTTGACCCGGGCTTTTTCTCCACACACCTACGGGGAAGCCTTGAAGAGATGTGAGGCTGTGGCCAGGCCTGGCCTGGAGCCAGAACTGCCCGTCCACCTCTCGCCCCACGGCTGCTGCATCACCTCTCTGGACTGCCCACCCTGCCCCTCGGGAGACTTAGCGCCCAAGCAGGGCTTTGCACAGACCCAGGAGTGGGTGGACTATGGCCCACACTCTGTGTGGCTCTGTCCCCTGCCTCCAGCTCATGTTAGGTCCCTACCTGACGAGGTGAGGTTCGAGAGGCAGTTCATGGTCCAGCAGAGAGCATGGGTATTATTGTCAGAGGCTCAATAAATGATGGGGGAGAAAAATGCAGGATGATTTCCTGGTTAATTACATTCCTGAGACCATGGATGCCTCGCTGGGAGAGGAGAGGGCTGGAGCTCCCTGCCCACCCGGGAGGGTCAGCCAGCTCCAGCTCTGTACAGGCCCTACTTGGAACCCCCCTTTGGCCCCAGGCCTTGGGCCCTCCTGCGTGCATCTAGGGAGGCAGCAGCACAGTGGGTCTGAGGCCTTGCATCCAAAGTGATCGGTTTCTACCGCCGATTGGCTGGGCAACCAGAGATAAGGTCAGTTCCCTGGAACTTCAATTTCCTTGTCTGTAAAATTGACAAAAGAGTCCTGCAAAGTTCCTTAAGGCCTGAAGCAATGACTCTACCTGCAACTGGCCGTGTCATATGTTTTTAGTGCCCCTAACAGACAGACATGGCCAGGGCACCTCACCAGGCTGACAGGCCGTTAGCATCACCTGAAGCTCCCAGGTCTCCTGTCACAGGGCCTACTCAGCTACAGTAGGAGTCTGTGAAATTACACAGTGAGTCCAGTAATGATTCTGTGTGCCCAGTGCTGGACTGACAGAAACTCGGGAATAGCAAAATGGAAAAATGCTCAATATTGCTAATTATCGGAGACATGCAAATCAAAACTTCAATGAGGTATCACCTCACACCAGTCAGAATGGCCATCATTCAAAAGTCCACAAATGATAAATGCTGGAGAGGCTGTGGAGAAAAGGGAACCCTCCTACACTGCTAGTAGGAATGCAGTTTGGTGCAGCCACTGTGGAAAACAGTACGGAGATTCCTCTCAAAAAACTGAAAATGGACCTACAGTATGATCCAGCAATCCCACTCCTGGGCATATATCCAGAGGGAACTCTAATTTGAAAAGGTATATGCACCCCAATGTTCACAGCAGCACTATATACAACAGCCAACACATGGCAACAACTCAAATGTCCATCAACAGAAGATAAAGAAGCTGTGGTATATTTATACAATGGAATACTACTCAGCCATAAAAAATGCCATTTGCAGCAACACAGATGGGCCTGGAGATCGTTACTCTAACTGAAGTAACCCAGAAAGAGAAAGAAAAATACCATATGATATCATTCATATGTGGAATCTAAAGGGAAAAAAGACGCGAATGAACTTATCTATAAAACAGAAACAGATTCACAAACATTCACAGACATAGTAAACACAAGCTTATGGGAGTGGGAAGGGATAAATTGGGAGTTTGAGATTTGCAAATACTAACTACTATATACAAAATATATAAACAACCAGTTTCTTCTGTATAGCACAGAGAACTATATTTGATATCTTATAGTAACCTATAATGAAAAAGAATTTGAAAACGAATATATGTATGTGTATATATGTATGACTTGGAACATTATGTTGTACATCAGAAATTGACACATTGTAACTGACTATACTTCAATAAAATAAATAAATAAATAAATAAAAATAAAAAGAGAACAAAAGGAAATGTTAAAAAAAAAGGTTAATGGAAGGTCAAACCCTACTTCCTACAGTTCGTCATCAAGTTTGATAGCCCCACATTGTCTCATCTAACTGCACAGTGACCTTACCAGGTTATTACAGAGCACCAGCAAGAACTCTGTGTCCTGGGAAATGAGGGGCTCTGCAGAGCTGACTTGTAAGGTCAGTAACCATCCACCTCACTTGGGACCTATGTGACCAGTCATCACCACTACACTTGGGCTCAGACAGAGGGAACAGCATCCCAGGCAGAGGAAACAGAGTCTCAGACAGAGGGAACCGTGTCCTAGACAGAGAGAACATCATCTCAGACAGAGAGAACAGAGTCTGAAGCAGAGACACCAGCACCCCAGACAAAGGGAACAGCATCAGATAGAGGGACGGGCACAAAGGCAAACAAGAGTGAGCCAATCCATCTGAAGAGCTGGCAGTGTGCCCAGGCGGGTGAGCCCAGAAGTAGGGGATGGGACCTGAGGGTGGGAGCCGGGATGGATCTCACAGCCGTGGGCAGCCAGGGAGTCATGCAGGTGAGTGACATCCCATTGAGGTTTTGGTTTCATGTCTGTCCTACGGTCAGTTTACTCCTATGCTCACCCCTTTTCCCATGGAGCCTCAGTTTCCTCATCTGTCAGGGGAAGTTGTCAGAGCCCACCTCGGGAAGGTGGACAGGATGTGGCGAGGCAGGTCCCCTGGCACAGGACCAGCGACTCTTCCATGATCACTGAGTACAGGGACACCCCCAACCCCAGGCTCTCAAGGGGCTCAGGGCAGCAAAGCCTCAGCCGTCCTCTGCCACCTCACTCAGCACCTCAGCTCAGCTCTAACCTCGACAGACCAACTGTGGATCCAGGCCTCTGTGTATGCAGAGCACAAAGTCCTGTCCAGCTTGGGGCGGGGGGAGCTGCACATTTGGAGGAGCTGGTTTTTGTGCAGAGACAGACAGCCGGAGGAGCGGAACCAGGGCCTCTGGCCTCCCGTAACCACCCAGCCAGGGACAAACCACTTCCTTCTCTTTGCACCCGGCCCCATCCGGCCCCAGGGCTGCTCGCCGATCAAGCTGTCAGGCTCCAAAGGTTTGGGTTTGGGCCCAGCTTGGTAGCTTGCAGGCCATGGTCTGGGGCAAGTCTCGGGCCTCAGTTTCTCTGTGGTTGTCAGGTTCCTCTCCTGCAAGGGTGAGGTCCCCCTGGGCTTCATCGGAGGACAGATCCAAGTAACAGCAGAGCTGCCCTGCGCACGCCCAGCCCCCCCAGGCACTGCTCACCTTGGGAGCCTGGCACAGCCTAGATCCTACTTCACTGACAGGAAAGCTAGATGGTCAACGCAGCTGCCCCAAGTCACAGAGCTGGGGGAGGGGCCGCAAGCCAAACATCCCAGTGGGCCATGAAAATCACCTGGGCATCAGCCACCTGCTGTCCCTGGCCCCCTTATCAGAGTTCCAGGAAACCCCAGGCCCAACTTTCTATCCTTCCATCTTTCCAAGGGGACTCCACAGCACCTCCCAGACCCCAGGAAGCTGTAAACAGACTGACTGTCTGCAATCACGAGGACCCCCACACCGCAAACCCCAGAGGGTCCCAGGAGCCAAGCGCTCTGGGTATGGCAATGCCCCTTCTGCGCAATGGGCACAAACACGGTGTCATCTGGTACCCATGGCTGTCCATGACCCTCCCCCACTCAGCAAGTCTCTCTCAGGTGACCTGGCTACCACCCTACACCACCCTGGCACAGTGTGGAGTTCTGGGCAGGCCCTGGTGGGCTCAGCCTTCTTCCCCAGGCAGCACCGCCATAGATAGGGCCCGTCAATCAGGATCTGAAATGCAGGCGGCAGAGGAATCTTCCACTGTGTGTAAAGGTCTAGCCCCTGAGGACCGTGTTTGGGACCACTCATCCCTCCTCTGTAAGCCCAGCCTGCTTGCGGGTCACCCTGAACCGAGTCAGCCGCGGCCCCCGGTCCCCCCGACTTGGGTCCATCTTTGCCAGAGCCTAAGCCTCCACGGATGACACTCCACACTGCCCTGGCAGACTTCCTCACTTGCTGCTCAGTGATGCCCACTGACTTGTTACAAATCATGCCAGAGGCATCACAGGAAGACAAAGGGACACAAACTAGACAC